GGTAAGACGTTTCTTACGGCCACATGTGTAATTTGGTCGTAGTGTAGACCAACAAAGGAAAACAGTAGTAGGTGACGTCTGTGTTTCATCCCTGAACTGCAGAAACAGACGACTGAGTAGGTGCGAAATGGGGCGGGATTCATTAGTACCCCATTTCGCTATGTTGGAGGGGACATGTAAGTTTTGGTAAGAAAGAGGAGAAGGGATTAAAAGTAAATTTGTTTATAAAAACTGTAAATTTGCTCGGAAGATAAACTTACGTGCAAGAGGCACGTTTCAGTTTTCGATCAATTTATTCAAATTCTACAAAGAAATGAAGCAAAAAACTACGTAAAATTCGCCATAGTCAGCTCGGAATAAACGCGAAACTTGCGCACTTTTCAAATTAATAATTCAAATCTTACTTTTTAAGCTTGTACCATATAATGTAATAGATTTACGATGATGGTGCTCACCGGAGATCATATCGACTTGTTTCCTCCTTCACTTTTTGCCAGCGCTTTCGTGCTGATGATGGCTTCAAGCTATGCGCAACTTTCGAGAGAACGTTTCGTTGCCGCGGCGGTGGCGATTTCCTCTCAGCACGACGCTTTGCTTCTTCCGCCTTCCCACTGTGTACGTAAGCCTAAAAGAAGTAAAACCTGCTATTCAACCAAAACACAAAAATTCAGCTTGATGGAAGCAAAATGTCCGATTTCAGAAATCATGCTATACTTCATACTGCACGCGGCTCTCAAGTACTTGGGGTTATTGAGTTTTTGCCTTGTTTGACTAATTATGACGAATAATTATGATATTTTCGTCAGTAGATGTGAGAATCGCCAAAAATATGACCATCAAACGACAATACAGCACTGGTCAAAACAGCTGGGAAGGCTGTCGGTTGCACAGCTGGGGAATTGGACTACGAATTACAGATGACTCAGGTTCTCCAAATATTAATTAATTCACCAGCAACGTTGCTTTAAAATGGTGTGAACCCCAATGCTATTTCAGTGGGCTCAAAAAACTACTTCAGTGAGCTGTAACGGTCAAAGTCGCATACGAAGAAAACTTTTTCCTCGGTAATGCATGTCAGCAAGAACAGCTAGACTGGCCATTTTGGACTGCTCACCCGCGTAGTGCTAATATTGGAATAACTGACAATGAGATGTTCATATGAAGCACGAAGTTCGGCAAGATCAGATTTTCGAAGAATGAAGAAGTTGCCAGCTACATCATCGATAGCGAGAAAACGCAGGATGACGAGAGAGTGACTGCTCGAAGTAACCCTAACTTAACTACATCGTTCAATCAGTAATTTATTATCAATGGGTCTGTTGAACAATGATTTTTCCACTCAGATTTCTTCGAAATTTTTTAAAAATTTTTAAAAAAGTTAAAAAAAATTTAAAAAATTTAAAAAAAAATTTTAAAAAAACAAATTTAAAAAAAATTTAAAAAATCTTCGAAAGGTTTTTTGAGAGGCGCACTTTGTACTTATCCATTGCATCGTGGATATCCATCTTCTCGGCGTTCATATTCAGCATCTCAATTGGCGGCGCCGCTACTGCTGATTTTGATCTGATCGCACTTTGCGTGCGTTTTACCATCGATATCAGACCGTGGCCGTGCTCCGTCGGCTTCGTCGGAGCCTTTTCTGTTTATTTTCTTTTTTAGTTAACAAATACCAATACTTTGAAGTTTTTTTAAAAAAAAAGCAACAGTTCAAGCAAACTCCTCTCAATGTGCATGTGTCATAAGTGTAAAATTTCTGTGAAACCAAAACTGAATTTCGACAGGATCCACCCCACTAATTCAGCAGAGTTTCGTTTACGTGGAACCATAATACTAATAATTATTACTTGTTGGAAAATACAGACTCGGCGCAAAAAACACTTGGGTTCATTCGAAATTTAATACTGTTAGATAAGCGAAACTTTTGTCAGGATTTGTTTGCTTCGGGGCTAACTACGCTCAGATGCCTTTTTATCGCTTTCATCACCTAAATACTGCAAATAAAGTAACACCATCGGAATGTTTGCATGAAATTAGTTGGGGGATGGGTACGGTCCAATTTGAAGCGACAACCACCCGGCCATTAAAAATGAGTCAAAATTTACCCACCCAAGCACAGAGCAAGTACTGAGCAACAGTCCGAGCGGCAGCACGGAAATCAGCAACCACTCGCTGGTAAGGCTGTCAAAAATTTTCTCTTTTGAGAAATGTTCAAAAATAAGCTAAGAACTGTTTTGATTTATGGGGAGAGACGGAAAGCTATGTAATTTTAGAAAATGCGAACAGGATGCATAAAAAGTACAAAAATTACCTTCGTCGCTTTCGTTTTTCTTTTCCACATTACTTTTGGTATGTCTTAGAAACTTCCGTGTTCCTAATTTTTCAGCAGATTGCTTTGATTTGTCAACTTCGTCGTAATCGCCTACTTTCTTCACTTCCTCCTTCTCCTCCAGACCAATCGGAGAGAGTGTTCCCGCTGCTGTGATCAATTTTCTCATACCTGTCATCTACAAAAAGCGTACTGATCAAAAAATTGAATAGTACTGGGAAGCTATTTTTAATGTAAGCTCAAAATGCCGACAATTCGTATCACAATAGTTATCGAAAAATCTACAAAACGCTCTTAATGCTTGTATATGAAAACAAAAAAATATGAAGGTACATGCGAAGCAGCGTATAGAAACATGCGCACGAATGCACATACACCACGCACAAACTTACACATACACACTCACACACACACCCACACACGCACACACACACACACACGCACACTCACACACACACAAACGCCTAAACAACAAGCCTCAAAGCGCATAATAAAAAGTTAAGAGTTATTTTAAGATGAATTTTCAGTGAACTGTATTCGAAAAATACATGCCATAGAGAAATCTCCTGCGGCGCAGACGCTGAGCTGCTCGGAATACTGCACTGAACCACAGTCAGTAAGTTTGTGGCGACAATCGTCCCAGCGACCGAAGCACAAATCGACACCTCCAACAAATGCTATTAGCTGATCGATAATCACAAGCTTCTCGTGATGAGCCCAAAAAAATGTGCCCGACGAGAGATAATGGTCCGGATGACGAAGCACCTGAAACAGTCTAAAGCCATCGCATTCATCTTGAAGGATAAAACCAAAACCAATAAGAGTGTGCATCCGGGATTTACGAAAACACGCCTTTTTCGTACAGTTCTGCCAGCCAAGACTAATTCTCCTTATTTATGTGAATTTGGTTTTTGTTTATTCACAGTTTAAGCTAATGATCAAACTAATTTATACAGCTTAGCTTTAAGCCATATCAGCGTTAAGGTCACGTTTCCAAAGTTTAGTTTTTCAATTTGTTTGAGGCGTAGTTTAAAAATGCGTGGTTCATCATACATAGTCAAAGAACTGCCAATTATAGGTCTTTACATTTGCATTAGTGAAAATGCAAAAATATAAAAAA